CCCTTACGCTGACGCTTGGGCGGCTCAATCCAATGGTCTATTTGACTACTCTTTCGCTTTGCGCGCCAATCCTCGCCCTCAAACTGATATACAGAGGAGGAGCCCGCCTCGCTGCTTGTGTCCATGGTGAAGGTGCGTAGAGAGCTCTCGCCCAGCTTATCTAGTCTGGCCTTTTGTTCGGCTGTTTTGGCTTCTCCACGCTCCAGTATGACATCGATATCGTCGTCCATGTTGTTCATGTCCTTGTTGTTGAATATATCCTTTGCACCAAAACGGATGATATTCAAAATTTCATCTTTACCGGGCTGGGGGCGATTTTCAAGCACACGACCGGCTTGGATAACCATTCTATCCAAACGTAGCTTGACTTCTGCACGCTCCACAATCTTCTCGTCGACGGTGTTCTCCGTCACTAGACGGAACACGCGCACCTGCTTCTTCTGGCCAATACGATGTGCACGATCCATGGCCTGTAGATCCATCTGTGGATTCCAGTCCGAATCATAGATGATGACCACATCGGCGGTGGCCAAATTGATGCCCAAGCCGCCAGCTCGAGTTGACAAGAGGAATATAAATTTAGTGCTCTTCTCCATGTTGTATTCCTGAATCATTTGATTACGGTCCTCGTGCGCCGTCTTGCCATCCAAGCGGCAATAATTATAGTTACGCCAGGCGCAATAATCCTCTAGAATGTCCAGCATGCGTGTCATCTGCGAAAAGATCAACACCCGCGAGCCCTGCTTCTGCAGCTTTGGCAGCAACTTGTCCAATATGATCATTTTGCCTGAGTCGTTTACCAAATGCGCGTCCGTCGTGTAGGGTGGTCCTGGTTCTGCACCATCAAACAAATAAGGATGATTGGTGCATTTACGCAGATGGGCCAAGATGTTCTGCACTCGCATTTTCTCTACTTTGCCAGCACCGTTAACGACGTCAATGTCCTTGAGCAAAAGCTTAGTATACCACTCGTGTTGTAATTTGGACATACCCACGAAGATCTTGGTCTCTTTCTTGGGCTTCAAACTCTTCTCCACCTCCGACTTCAGGCGACGCAATAGAAAAGGCTTTAGCACAGCGTGCAGACGTGAGACCAGCGTCTCATCGCCCAAACAGGAGTTTGTGTTAAACCACTCATCGAAATCCTCCGAGGAGTTAAACACATCTGGCAACAGGAAATTGAGTAGCGCCCACAGCTCGTGCAAATTGTTCTGCAAAGGGGTGCCCGTGAGGAGTAACCGATTGGCCGAGTTGAATTCGCGTATAATCTCCGCGAGCTTCGTTTTTTCGTTCTTAATACGATGTGCCTCATCCATAACTAGGTACTGCCAGTGGAAGCTTTTTAGGGCGCTCTTCTCACGCAAGCACATCTCGTAGGAGGTGATGCACACATCCCAATTGCCAGACACCAGCACGTCGCGTATAAAGGTCTTGCGACTTTTCAAGTCGCCAATGAGACAAACGGCGTTGAGTGAGGGGCACCAATGCTTAAACTCATTCATCCAATTCTGCAAAGTCGACTTTGGCACGACAACCAAGTGCGGTCCAGATTGGTTTCTGCAAACAAGGTTTGCATTAAAACGTGGATACTTATTAAACGCTGTTTTACCACTCACTTAAAATGCTTGAGGTAGCCAAGCAGCGAGACGGTCTGCAGCGTCTTGCCCAGACCCATTTCATCGGCCAGGATGCCGTTGATACCGTTCTCGTAGAGTGATATCATCCAGTTCAGGCCACGTATCTGATAGTCACGCATTTCGCCGCCTTCGATATATGCGGGCGAAACATCAAAGTGTACTAGATTGTTGTTATTCGAGTCCTCTGCCGCCCCATGAGGCTGATCCTTTACCGATGCACGGCGTCGCTGCCTGAGCAATAGGAAATTACTTTAGTTATTTGTGTTGCATTGAAAGGTTTTGCTTCACCTACTCAGCCTTCCCTTGAACCCTGCCATTCGGTCTTCCCTTCCTGGCACGTCCCTTGCCATCGGTGGGGCTCTCTGCGTTTGGATTCGCATTCGACATGAAATGTGCAAAGATCTCCGTTTGCTTAAGCAGACAATCGAAGCGCCTGTTGCGTGCGGCTTCAATATTTTTTAAATAAGCCGCCTTAGCTTGCTTGAACTTTGAAGGCTCCTCAGGCTCCACTGAGTTAACGATCTAACAAAATGCGCATGAAAAATTTAGAAGAAAAAAAAAAACAACGGGATTTAGTCGAGAGAAAAAACGGGATCACTTCTGTTTTACTCAGCTGCAGCTTACCACATTTTCTTTGTTTTCCTCCATTGCAGTGACATCTGTTTCTGACATATTTGTATCCGTTCAACAATTCGTATTTATTTAGTTCATATATTTAATGTGCATTATGCGAGTCGCTCGAAACGCGTCTTAATGCAGCGGGAAAAAAGCGGCGATTGTCAAACTTCATCGAAGATAGATATCGATATCATTATCACAAAATACGAGCGTTGCCAGCTTTTGTTACTTTTGGTGAATAGGATTCAGATTTATGATATTTAACAAAAAAATTAAAAAGTAGTACACTTTTTATTTTAGGCCAAGCTGCATAAAGTAGCCTGTTTTCCTACTTAAAAACACTGCAAGAGCCTCGAGTAATGTCTTTATTCAGTAAATGTGTTAGTTATTCTTGTTTATTATTATTATGTAATAGTTTCTAGTAAACTACATAAAGTCTACGTATTTCGCACTGTTGGCTTGAAAATCAATCTCGTAGTTATGAATTAAGTGATCTCATAAATATTGAACTAAGAGCAGCTGCATAATTAAACAACTTGGGACGGTGCGCTCTGGGTATTAATAAGCAGTGATAATTAAAATAGGACAAATTCAGACCAAAATCATTTTGAAGAATGCCCGAATTACCATTGTCCGTTTTTAAACTTTATAAAGCCAGATTTTACGGCAAAGAAAATTATGTGAAATTTAAAACACCACAAGAATTGTGATAATGATCAAGCACGCATTGAACAACACTGGTTGTGATGTTAACAACACACTTTGCGCCAATTCTTTAATATTTTTTAGTAACGAATTTTAAAATTAAATTGTAGGTTTTTTGCATAAATGGGTATTATAATTTTTACAAATCAACGTTTTCGAGTATGTTTATGATTTATGCTAAGCATGTATTTTCTACAAAATATATTTACAGTAGTTGACATAATAAAAAACCAAATTTTTACACGAGAATGTACCTAGCGAAAGTTACAGTATTAATGCAAACCCCTAACGCTCTTTTAAAGATCATAGAAATGACATGAATATATGATGCATTATTGTGTTGAGCATGATGATGCTCTTACTCCGTTCGACTCAACACACACGGAATGAAATGCAGCAAATTGTTGTGTTTTTGGAATACATATATATATATATATATACATATACATATATATGGGTATAAATTTGGCCGCTTGCCACAGCGTCCAGTTTCACGTGTCGTCTATACAGAACCATTGCAGATATCACCAAGCATTGTTCCAGTACAGACTCAGTTTCTCACGGAAAACAGTTGCGCAATTTTGCTCGCATGACACTTGCAGAATTCATAGCCTATTTTTGCTGTTCTCTTGAGCGCCTCCGATGTGCTGCCGGCGTTTGTGGTCGCAACGGCCACGTCGCCGAATTGAGAGGCAGCTGTTGTGCTTTGTGAGGTTGTTGTCACCGACGTCAGCTGATCTTGCGGAAACATGCGACACAGCACGTAGTTAAAGCCATTCGACGCTTTGTTGCCGTTGACTTTAAACCGCTCAATGCCGAAGGCGCGTATGGCGCGCGAAAAGCCAAATACTTGAGAGCTGATGTATGCACGCCGCACGGCCAGAGTGCGTCCGTCCTTTTGTTCGCTATAGACAACAATTTCATCCACTTTCTGGAAGGCAGGTAAGTGTATGCATAAAGATATTTGTCGCACCTTGAGTCACCCTGTGATGTCAAAGTCCACTTACCATTATCTTCTTCATACCTAGATTGCGGGTAAATGTCGTAAAAGTCTTTTTCACTGGATCCAGCACTGAGTCCTCAACAATCTTGACCGGCAAATTGTTGTAGAACCGTGCGCCCCATTTGGGCACCGGATTCGTTTTGGATAGCAAACGGCGTGAATACAGTTTACCATCGCGCACTTCACGCTTGATGGTGTCTTCGGTAAGAACATGAGTGCTGCAAAAAATGAAACGATAAGGTCAACTAAGGGACGGTTGTTAATGGTAGAAAGCAGCACTCACCTGGACGGATTCGGATAACGGTTCCAATAGGCAGAAACAACATGCTTCCAGCTATAGTCGAATACCGTCTCCGTGCGGCAAGTGGACGCAGTGACTACCATGACGACACAATACTGTTTGCCTCAAAGAATTGTAGGAGCTCTGCCAAAATGAAAGTGAAATTCACCGCATGCGCTTGCGTCCCTGAACTAAGAGAATATACAGAATAGAAAGCATATGAGCCGCAGATAAATCAATAGCTGAACATTGAAGGCTATAAATAGAGCCGGGACGATTCTCGAACGTACCTGCGATACGACTGCTGCACAGCTCCAAGATTGTGTGCGCTTCGCAATGCTTGTTTGTAGTTGTGTCCGTACCCCTATCGTTTCCCCCGAGGCCTACTCGTCCAGACTGAGAATTTTGATTTCTTTTGGCGTTGTGTAACTGCGTCACACACAGGGTGTCTCGCCCCGCCAACCAGATCTGTGTATGCCGACTGAAGTGTTTTTTTTGAATTGCCAATTGCCACAGCGGCTGTTTTTCGATTTTAACTACAGCTTTATGCTATTTGTTTTCTATTTCCTACTAATTTTGCTTAACAAAATTTCAATAATTAAGCCAATTAAACAAGCGAATAGCAGAGCTAACCGGAAACAGCTGAGTAGCTGCGTGAACAGTGCTGCATAAGTACGGACATACTTATCGATGTATTGTGTAAGCTAATCGATACTTGTGTCAAAATATTTTTGCTTTGGCACATCACTGACTCTTTCGTACAGACTATTCCAGCGTAAACGCAGCTCAGCGCACGGCACAAATTATTTTAAACGCGAATTTATTAAAAACTAAACGCATTTAAAATGGCATTCGGTGATGTTAAGACCCCACAAGGCCTCAAGGAGTTGAACAACTTCCTGGCCGACAACAGCTACATCAGCGGGTAAGCATATCTAGCATGTGCCTGCTAACCGTTTGTGAGGTTATGCACGGCCAACACGTCGGCATAAAAATGTTCATTACATATATTCAAATATTTATATTTATGATATTCTTTTCTGTGCAGTTACACCCCCTCGAAGGCCGATTTGTCCGTGTTTGATGCCCTGGGCAAGGCACCAGCTGGCGACTACGCACATGTTGCTCGCTGGTACCGTCACATTGCCTCCTTCGAGGCAGGTGAGCGTTCCGCTTGGACCGGTGCTCCGCTACCACAATTGGCCGGCGCCAAGCCCACAGTGGCTGCTGCTGCTGCCAAGCCAGCTGCCGATGATGACGATGACGTGGATCTATTCGGCTCCGATGAGGAGGATGATGCTGAGGCCGAGCGTATCAAGGCAGAACGCGTTGCCGCCTATGCTGCAAAGAAATCAAAGAAACCCGCGCTGATTGCCAAATCGTCTGTGCTGCTCGACGTGAAGCCATGGGATGATGAGACCGACATGAAGGAGATGGAGCGCTTTGTGCGCACCATCGAAATGGACGGTCTGCTGTGGGGCGCATCCAAACTGGTGCCCGTCGGCTATGGCATCAACAAACTGCAGATTATGTGCGTCATTGAAGACGAGAAGGTCTCCATTGATCTGCTGCAGGAGAAGATTGAGGAGTTCGAGGACTTCGTGCAGTCCGTCGATATTGCTGCCTTCAACAAGATCTAGGCGTTATGCTCGATACTCTTAAATACAGCATTCAAAATAAAACACTAAGCAAAGCAATATGAAGCAACTCGTATGTCTATCTCTTTCCTACATGCAGCTTTTACAGCGCTGAACGAAAATGTTGCCAATTGAACTCGACTACTTTTTGAAGCGGCAGTTGGCAACACTGTTGACCAAGTTCGTGTTCAAAGTTATTCCTTTTGAGCGAAAGCTTTTGGGCCTCAACAAAAGATGCAGCGCGCTCGCAACTCAGCTCAGTTACTTGCGGCACTTCCCAGCGTTCGATTCAACAGCAAAAACAAAAGCTTTGCTTTTCTTTGGAATTTTAACAAATAAATATTTACAATGACTGTCCATAAATTGTGCTGCACTTTGGCTATAGGTGTTATCATGTGCCTGGCTTTTGCGGCTCTGATACAAGCGCAGGGTAAGTCTAACCAACCGAATGGGGTACAATTACTCATCAATTGGGCTACAAAATGCACCCCAAACTTGTTTGTCAATATGATTTCAAATGCAAAACGGAAATACCAGCATGTGCATTTTATTAATATTAATTAGCAGTCATTTGATTAGAAGATTCATATATTTTTCTTAACGACTAGCCCAATAGCTGGTTGCTTTCTTACCAATAATTATAATAAGTAAATGCACTACAGATCATAAAATTGCTTATCAGCGTTCAACTGAATAATCAACGTACTCTTTGCACCTCTTTTACAGATAAGTTCCTGGATGAAGTGTGCCTGGGCTGCATCTGCGAGGCCATCAGCGGCTGTAATCAGACACGATACTGCGCTGACGGCGTCTGTGGCCCATTTCGCATCACCTGGGCCTACTGGGCGGATGGCGGCAAGCTGACCCTGAACAACGAAAGTCCCCAGTCGGAGGAGGGTAAATATAAAGCAGAAATATACTACTTAGCCTTAATTAACTCCTTCTCCATCCCTCCCCAAGCCTTTGCCAATTGCGTCAACGATCCCTATTGCGCGGCCAACACCATCCAGAACTACATGACCAAGTTTGGACAGGATTGCAATGGCGATGGCGTCGTCGACTGCTACGACTATGCATCAATACACATCCTGGGTGGCTTTGGCTGCAAGGGCGAACTGACACCACAATATAAGACCTCACTGAATGAGTGCATCAAGACACACTCGAACATTGATGTGCGCATATTGTAATAATTAGATTAAGAGCGAGTCCCAATAGATAATGCAATAATAACTGACAAAACGACTCAGTGATGAGGCGCAACTGTTTGGCGAAACGCGAGAAGTCACAAACTGATTTTCCGGATTCATATATTTATTATTCTATAAATATTGCAGTAGATAATGAAAAATTCACGTGGTTGATTGTCGGATTCTCATGAGCATATTGTATTCTTGTAAAAACCAGTTTATAGTTTATATTCATATAGTATAAAATTAAAAAAAAAAAATAAAAAATATATTATGTATGTTATGCAATTATTTTAATATGAATATTAAAAGTTATTCATTCATACTTATTCGGTTATGTGGACGGCCGATCTTTTTGAAAATTGCACTTATTGTGTAATCTCTCATGTTTCAAATCTGTTAGCAAAAGCTTTTTATTTGACTTGTTCGGCCCACTGTGCGCTGCCCAAGTTCGTGTTCAAAGTTATTCCTTTTGAGAAAAAGCTTTTGGGCCACATCAAAATAGTGCAGCGCGTTCGCAACTCAACTCAGTTACTCGCGGGACGTCCCAGCGTTCGATTCAACAGCAATATACGAAAACTATACGCATTTGTTTGGAATTTTAATAAATATTAATAATAATAATTCACAATGACTGTCAATAAATTGTGCTGCACTTTAGCTACAGGTGCTATCTTGTGCCTGGGCTTTGCGGTTCTGATACAAGCGCAGGGTAAGTGAAATAACCGAATGCGGCACAATTACTGATAAATTGGGCGACAAAATGCTCCCCAAATATGTTGAAGCTGATTTCAAATGCAACAAGTAAATAGCTGCATTTCCAATTTATTAAAATTAATTAGCAGTCATCTGATTAGAAGATACATATATTTTTCTTAACGTTCGTTAATTTGCTTATCAGCGTTCAACTGAATTATCAACGAACTGTTGGCACCCTTTTTACAGATAAGCTGCTGAATCAAGTGTGCCTGGGTTGCCTGTGCGAAGCCGTCAGCGGCTGTAATCAGACACGTGCTTGCGGCGGTGGCGCCTGCGGCATGTTTCACATCACCAGGGCCTACTGGGCGGATGGCGGCAAGCTGACCCTGAACAACGAAAGTCCCCAGTCGGAGGAGGGTAAATAATTAACACATATATATTAATTGTTATTCTTGTTAAACTCCTGTTCTCTCCCCCATCTCGCTCCCCTCTGCATTAGCCTTTGCCAACTGCGTCAACGAACCCTATTGCGCAGCTGACACCATCCAGAACTACATGACCAAGTTTGGACAGGATTGCAATGGCGATGGCGTCGTCGATTGCTACGATTATGCGGCCATACACAAGCTGGGTGGCTATGGCTGCAAGGGCGAACTGACCCAACAATATAAGACCTCTCTCGATGAGTGTCTCAAGGCACACTTGAACATTGATGTGCGCATCTTGCATTAAGCTATATAATCTACGGGCTTTTATTTTCCTTATTTACATGCAGCTGTGAGCTGAAATTTGCATCTTGAATCGTTTGAAGTGTGCAGGAACCCATATTTACAGAAAAACAATTATTTGTTTTAATTTAAAGCTGACAAAAACACTACCAAAAGAGGCGCAACTGAATGCCGAAATGTGAAATGATAATAATTTAGATATGTTTTATTAAAAACAGAGAAAAACGGCACAATTTAACAAAAAGCTACTGAAAATAAAAATTGTGTGACCAAGGCCCAACAAATGAACAAAAAATAAAAAATTAGCAAAAGCGGAATTTTAAACAAATATTTCTCTATATATAACAAAGTGCTTCCATTAGGCCGACTATGACATATGTAATGCCTGCTTGAAATAGACAGTTTTAAGCCCCGACTGACTGACTAACAAAGCTACATTAACTCAGCCTTTGATAGAAATTTTTTAACTCAAAAAAGGCTCCAACTCTTGTTTTGTTGCCTCAAGATAATCAATGTCCTAATAAGCTTATTAAATGCTTTGTTAAAGCATATTAAAGCTTCGGCGAAAGCTCGATAAAGCTTCTGGAAAAAATTACAGGCGTATGAGTATATGCACATCTGTGAGCTGCTAAAGCCAACATAATATATTTGAGGAAGTGCATTATTATCCTTTCTTACATTTTTAAAACTCAACAAAATCTGTGTAAGCAGATTCATTAAAATATTTATTTTTTAAATTTCTTACATTGTTTGTTTTTTGTATTTTAAATGTACAGCCTGACCCTTATCCACCCAAACCCTCCAAGGAAAAACTCGAAAAAACGAACCATGGAGAATATTATGAACGGTCTCTCTGATTCTCTGATAGTTTATTAAAACTGCAAAAAATACATAAAATATTGCATTGGATAAGGATAAATTCACAATAGGGCATTCACAAATTTTCCGGATTCAGATAGTTAGTATTCTGGATAATGAAAAATGCACATAACTGATTCGTCGGAATCTCATGTGCATATTGTATTCTTCTCTTAAAAATGGGTATAAGGGTATATTGTATTTGTGCGAAGGCCAAATGTATGTAACAGGCAGAAGGAAGCATCTCCGACCCCATAAAGTATATATATTCTTAATCAGCATCAATAGCCGGCTCAATCTAGCCATGTCCGTCCGTCTGTCCGTCCGTCCGTCCGTATGTATGAACGCAAGGATCTCAGAACCTATAGGAGGATCTCAGAACCTATAAACACCAAATGGTATTCCTTCATAACTGGTCGTTTATGTGGGAACTATACATATTGTGGCTGCCTGATCTTTTTGAAATTTTCATTCATTGTGTAATCCCTCATGTTTAAAGTATGTTAGCAAAAGCTTTTATTCAATGGCTAGTTAACCAGTTCGTCCCACTGTGCGTTGCCCAAGTTCGTGTTTAAAGTTATTCGTTTTGAGCAAAAGCTTTTTGGGCCGCTGAACAAAAGAGCACAGCCCGTTCGCAAAGAAGCTCAGTTACTCGCGCGTCGTCCCAACGTTCGGTTCACAAGTAGACAGTGTTGTGAAAGCTTTTGGCATTTGTTTGAAAATTTAAATAAATATAGTAGATTTTTCGGGCAATAAAACACAGACACATTAACAATGGCTGCCAATAAATTGTGCTGCACTTTGGCAATAGGTGCTATTCTGTGCCTGGGCTTTGCGGTTCTGATACAAGCGCAGGGTAAGTGAAACAAACCGAATGGGGTACAACATGTATTGTTCTTTTGGGCGAGAGATTCCGTCACACATGGCAGTCAATAGGTTTTCGGATGCGAAATGGAAATACCTGTCCACCAGATTCGTGCATTTCATTAACATTAATTAGCGATCATAGAAATACAAGATTCTGTTTGGCTTAAAATTTATATTATAATATGCGGAAAGAGTTGAGGCATATATCAATATATATTTTCCACTCCACACAAATGCGTTTAGCCAGCTCAATAGTTAATTTTATATTCGTCTGAGCTGGGAATGCATTACTAACAGCTGTGTAAGGGGCATTGACAGCGTATTGCTAACTACTTCCGATATTAATAGTTTATTAATTTAATTTACATGAAGCGGAACTAAGCTAACAAATCGATTGTACGATGCAATGATGAGCAAATTGCACACCTATGCTAATTAATTGATTTAGCAGGTGAAACAATAAACATTAACGATAGTTAAAGCGAGCTTAGTTTAAGCAAATGCTTGGGCTCTTTAAATGCACACGAGGCTAAGCCCAGGTTAATAAATGTATGGAAATATGTACATACCTCTGCAGAATTTCCTGCTATTCCATACAACTATTCGAGTTGTTTTTTTTTGTGATCCATTATCAGTAAATCCGGGAAAAAGTACGCCTTTTGTGAAATACTCGCGATTTACTCTGACGTATGTACTCAGTCCTCGCGTGTGTTTTAATCTCTGATTTTGCCAGTTATTACACATATTTTGGTGTGATTATATATGATAATTATAATGTGCTCAGTTACTAAGGCAACTAATTATAACTGTAATAAAATAAAATTAGGGAAATGAATCATAGCTAAAATTTGTTTCAGTTATAAACCAATATAAAACTATAATAAATTAATAAAGTCATGCAAATGTTGACCCAAATTAGTAACTTTTTTTTTTGCTATTTTCAAGAGTTCGTCGAACCCGAACATAAAAACCCCGCGATTTTAATGCGTGAGAATGTCAAAATTATGAATAACAACAATTTTCAGGCGCCGTCTAAAAGAAATTAATTTTATCTATAAGCCATTTAAATTTTTCTAAGTGTAGCAAGGCTTTTTCACAGGTTTTTCAAGAGGCAACATTCATCATTTCGGAATAATACAAAATATAAAAAACATGTGCGACAAGTTCGGTTCGCCACGTGCATACGAAATAAGTAAAAATGGGCTCAATATCAATTTTTGCACTTAACAAGCAACATCTTGAGGCAACCTTGGACAGCCCACAAAAAAAGAAGAGAAATAATAAAAGAATATCGCAATTTACGGGGTTCGTGCTATGTCTTGATAAGGCACATTGACTCATACGCCCATGACAGCAGTTCGTATTTTTTTTAGTTAAGAATAATAGTAATAAGAAGAAGAAAAAACAATTTAATCTTTAAAGATGTTGCCATTGAAAGTTGCAAAACTAGTTCGGGCCATGTCTGATGCGATACAGAATCCAACCGTCAGGTTCATGGGCGTACGCGCAGCAGAATTTTATTAAAATTTTTGTGCTTTATTTAAATATCACAATCATATCATAATATATATAGCTTAGTTAAATATATTTTAATAGCTCGACTTACACTATACATTTTTATTTGTTTGTTTTTGTTTACAATTCGAATTGAATTAACAAATCTGAGAATATAAAACGATGATGTGTTTGAGCAAAAATGTGAAACGAACAAAATTCCAGTTTCATTGTGCCTCGAAAGCTGCGTTGCTTTATTTGCAAACGATTCATGAATTTATAGGTCATCCATATGCTTATCAGCCGAGCTGTGAATAGTCAACTGATACTCCTTGCACCCCTTGCCCGCTCTTCCACAGATAAGCCCGTGACTGATGTGTGCCTGGGCTGCATCTGCGAGGCCATCAGCGGCTGTAATCAGACTCGTTTCTGCGGCGGAGGGGTCTGTGGCCTGTTTCGCATCACCTGGGCCTACTGGGCGGATGGCGGCAAGCTGACCCTGAACAACGAAAGTCCTCAGTCGGAGGAGGGTAAATATAAACTAGAAATATACCACATCGCCTTAATTAACTCCTTCTCAATCCCTCCCCAAGCCTTTGCCAACTGCGTCAACGATCCCTATTGCGCGGCCAACACCATCCAGAACTACATGACCAAGTTTGGACAGGATTGCAATGGCGATGGCGGCATCGATTGCTACGACTACGCGGCCATACACAAGCTGGGCGGCTATGGCTGCAAGGGCGAACTGAGCTATCAATATCAGAGCGCCCTGGACAAGTGCCTGTCCACCTTCTCTTCCATAGATGTGCGCACAACGGGTTAAGCTATATTATCTACGAGTATATACTTTAATTATTTATATGCAGCGACGAGTTGGAATTTGTATACTTTAATCGTTTGAATTGTGCAAAAACCTTATAAAAATAACTGAAACTTTTATAATAATAAACGAAAACTATACAATATATTGGCGAGCAGAGAGGAGGACTTTATGGAAAGTTTTAAAATTTTCTAGAGATGTAAGATATGAAGTTATGCAAAGCAGGAGATCAAGAGTCATCATCTGGTAGCCTGGCATAGCATATATGTCTATCCTAGATCGATCTATGGGAGCAATATGATATATTGGCACGATACTGATAAGAATTGATGAGTAAAAAACGAAAAAAACTGACTGATCATTTCCCTAATCATTTCCGATAAAGCCGACATCAAAATGTCTACTGCCTGCCAGAAAACGAAAATCGCTGCCAAATTGTATTACACAAGCTTTAAGACTCAGCTACAGCTATATTTAGTGAGCTCATCTCCCAGATATATAATAATATATTTTATTAGCTCAAAGATCTATGGAGTCACACACTTTGTGACAAAGTTACCAAGCCCTCTGTAAGGGCATTTAAAAGAAAGCTTTAACTTTGACAAGTAACGGTTAAGACAAAAGCTTTCGCTGGGTTTGGGGCTTGAGTCAAAGCTTTTTGCATGTGAGTAGCAAACTAAGTTCAAGACTATTCGGCCGAAGCTTTAACCAAAGTACTCGGCTCTGAGATACCCTAGGCAAGTAGTTAAAATGGCAAGTCTCAGGCATAGCTCCATGAACAAAGAGGCACAGAAAGAGCCAAGCTTTATAGGCCTCAAAAGCCTACCAATGTGATATATTTAAAGTATTTTCTTTTTAACCGAGCTGGGGTTGAGCTGCCCTGTAACCCCAGAGAGCGCATCTGAGTGCACCGCTGATTGGTTTTACTCGTTCAAAATGGCCCTAAAAACCGGTATTATAGACATTTGTCGGGGTTCGACGACGATGCGTTTCGACCTCGTTGCATTTACTTCTCAGTTGAGGAAGTGTTAGAACGTGCTGCAATCTCTAACATCTCGCCGTATACGAAGCTGTTTCCCCGGTCGATTCATTTATAAAAATGCAAATATTGCAGCTTTTATGCCTGTGCTTGGCCTGCCTGCTGCCTTGCGGTCGGGTGCATGGTCAGGGTAAGTTCCGATTCCAATAATATATATTTGTTAGAGTCATAATATAAGTATGTTTATCAGGGCACTTGCTGGACAAGCCCGTGACGGAGCTGTGCCTCAACTGCATTTGCGAGGCAATGTCTGGCTGCAATGCGACCGCTATATGCACCAATCCGGAGAAGGGCATCTGCGGCATCTTTCGCATCACCTGGGCGTATTGGGTGGACGCTGGCAAGTTGACCATTAACGGCGATCAACCTGATTCGGAGGATGCGTTCATCAATTGCGCCAACGATCCGCACTGCGCCGCCAACAGCGTCCAGAACTACATGAAGAAGTTCAATCAGGACTGCAACGATGATGGCGAAATGGATTGCCATGACTATGCCCGCATACACAGGCTGGGCGCATATGGCTGCAAGGGCGAGATGCCCTACAAGTACCTGAGCACCTTCGAAGACTGCATTGAGAACTACGAGGATCAGGGCTTTGAGTAACGGCCAGAGCTAATTACAATTATATTAAAAATTACACAATTATATTAAAAAAATGATGGGTATTGCTTGTAAATTAACGGTTGGTATCGGTTATAGCCGATAATTATTAAATGAGAATTGTCAATCGGCAGGAATATGGCTTATATTATTGAATGAATCAATGAATTATTGGTGTTTAACATAAGGCCTTTTCTAAGCTAACGCTGCGTAATGGTTAAAAATAGGTTGGAATTGAAAAATAGTACGGGCTCACCTTAGAATATATTAAATATTGATAGGTTCATCGATTGTTTAGTGCGGGTTTTTATTAAAAATTGTGAATTATGACTTGGTTAAGGAAATTACCTGTGCGATAATTGGACTAATTTGTTGTTATAGGGTGTAAACCGGTTTCAAAAGAATGTTGAAAAATAAATGAAACAAGCTTTAATATTAAAACTAACGCTAGGCGCGTGGCGGTTATTTTTAAATATTTGCAGATAAACCTATTGACAATCTAAAGAATAATCTAGGCAATATAAGCCTCGGCATCTAACTGCTTTAAGCCTTATCGATTAGTTGATGAATCAGTCAAAGAGCCTGTCATTATTTAAGCATTTAACGTGGGTTAGAACAAACAATATCCGAATAGTTTGAATTTCCTGAAATATTATAATGTCTATATTATAGTGCGGATACATTGGCGCATAAAACGCGTTTCGCTGCGTTGCACAATAAAAGTCCACAACAAACAGTCGCAAAATTTCAGTAGCTCGAGAACAGTCGAACGTAGCGAAACGGAAGTGAATAGCAAAAACGCTTTTGGAAAAGTGCAGCATGTCTGGCAGCGAAAACTTGTTATATCTCTGTCTGCTTTTAACGGTGGGCGTGGCCTGGACTAAGGCCGAGACACAGCGACCCATCACAGAGACCTGTTTGGAGTGCATGTGTGAGGCGCTGAGCGGCTGCAATGGCACCGCAGTGTGTGTGAACGGGGCCTGCGGCCTGTTTCGCCTTACCTGGGATCAGTGGGTGGACTCGGGTCGTCTGACTATTCCGGGCGATTCACCGCTCTCGGAAAACTGTGAGTAGCAGCAGCTAGTTACAAATGGAGTTCATATAATTGAATTGAATTTTCTGTGCAGCATTCACAAACTGCGCAAATGATCCGCACTGCGCGGCAGATACACTGCAGCATTATATGGTTAAATATGGGCAGGATTGCAATGGGGATGAGCATGAGGATTGCCACGACTATGGCGCTATACACTATATGGGTCCATTCAATTGTCAAGCGGATATGCCCTACAACTACGAGAACATCTTTAAAAGGTGTCTCAAGCGAGCGGAGAAGCAACAAAAACAACAACAAGCAACAAATACCTGAGCGAATTTATTAGTCTGTTATTGTGCATATATATTCTAGGAAAGTGAATTGTTTAACAAACTCTTTATAGTACTTGGGGCTTTCCAGCTAATTAAATTCAATTGTTATATAAGAAAACTTAAAACTTTTTTAACACTGTTTGATCTTATTTTAATGCCTTCACTTCCACCCAAGTCGCTCAGTCGTGCGCTAAGCGTGGCAAAGTCGACAACTCGGATATAAAATTGTCTCTTACACCTACGAACGTGGTCAACAATTGACAAACAATCAAAATGTTTAACAGTCGTCGTGCTTTGTTGTGCAGTGTTTTTGCGTTCTGGGCTATGCTTTGCCTGTGGCACATTGGCGCAGCGGATGATGGTAAGATTAAAAAAAAAAAAACCAAAAAAAAAAACGTGTTCTGAATTTTCGATAATTGACATAAAATGAAATTTGGCGACTTTACTATTTTTTTTAGAAATTATTTTCTTAAATAATTTTTTTTGTGGCAATTTTCTAAACTTCTTGAAAGAACGAGATTTGAGTGTAATATTTAAAATTGCAACCTTTTGAAATAAACTCAAAAAAATAAATAAGCGCGTCCTGATTTTTCGATAATTGCCATAAAATAATTTTTTTAATTTAATTAAGTTTTCTAGTCTTCAAAATGTTTTTATACATAAACAAATTTTTCATAAAATATAAATTTGCTGGTTTTGGCGACCTTTCCATTTTTTCTTATTTAATTATTAAATTAATTCAATTTTCATTTTGTGCAATTTTTTAAACTTTTGGAAAACGTGTTTTGCGTGAAGTAAAATTGCAGTCTTCGTTAGATGATTTTTTTTAATGGACCATCAAAATTATGCAGATAAACAATGAGGTTTGCTGGTTCAAGCCCTTGGGTAGTGTTTGCTCGGAAGAAGTCCTTAGAAGCCCATGCCACACGCTGAAACAAGGTTTTGAACCAAGATATCCGAAATCAATATTTGATTAACCATGAACAGATCCGAACGGATTTGTTGGATTAAAAATAACCGAACCTAAACCATAACTAGAAAATAATCTCTGATTATTTTTTTTAATATTGCAAAATATTGAAAGCGAACGAATTCTCGAATATTATTATAATTATTAATATATTTTATTATTAGTTGTAATAATATTATTAATATTATTATACTATTAATAATAATATTATTAAATAATTAATAAAAATATCATGATGTGAAGCCAAAGCTTGATATTCTTATTCGGAATATAATATTCTCAGTTTTGAATTTTTGAAATTTGTTCAGGAAAATCGGACCTTGAAGTCTGGTAAATTTCCATCGTATATAAAACTTAATATATACTAAATGAGTTTTGACATCCTTTCCATGTTTAAATAAATATCTAAAAATATATAAAGATAATTAAGATGTTTGTCTATTTTTTTTTTAAATATATATTTTAACAAAAACTACGTGCAAATAATATATTATTTCTTATGTTTTATGAGTATTGTCAAAATCTGCTTTAAGGACTCGCACAAAGTAACCAATGTCCTATAGCTCAGTCACTTCGTCACTTAAATTTCTACCCGCAATTTAAATGCATCACACACCACTGTGCCGCTACAGTGTGTGATAATTATCGGCATAGAATAGTATCTGTTTTGTAACTATGATAATGTGAACCGGCTTTGCTGTAATAGTTAATCGCATCTCGCGTATACTAGACGTATTTCAATTAAAAACTATCCAATATGCTAAACAATTCTTACTAAATGCGACCCCTTCTACTTACCCCACAGCGGCCGAGGGATTAGTTGTAAACAGACCCGTCACGGAAGACTGCCTTGAATGTCTATGCGAGGCACAAAGCGGCTGCAATGCGACACAGATCTGTGTGAATGGGGCGTGTGGCATCTTTCGGATCACTTGGGGCTTCTGGATGGAAGGTGGAGCAATTACGTTGCCCAACGATACCTCACTGTCGAAGGAGGGTAAGCATACAGTCCTTGCTGAGTATATCAGCGCTAAAACTCTCACTCCGACAGCCTTTACGAACTGCGTGAATGATCCGCACTGTGCGGCAGACACAATCCAGAACTATATGTACAAGAACGGACAGGATTGCAATGGGGATAAGGTCATCAATTGCCTGGACTTTGGTGCCATACACAAGATGGGCAATCTGCGGTGCCAGGACGAGTTGCCCTACACCTATGGCCGGATCTTCAGCAGATGCCTGAAAAGAAAAGAGCGCGATGCCAAAAGGGCGGCCAATCAAACAGATATTAACTAAATAACTTTGTCTTTATTGGGTATTGGGTTTGTTTGCTGGTTTTTTTGTTTGTTTGTTTGTTTTTCGAAAACATTTAGTAATACACATTGCTTATGTTTGCCATTTGAACAACTTTCCAATATATGGGGCATAGAATCTATAGAACTATAGTTCAGTTATAGTTGTAGTTATAGTTATAGTACAATACATAGTATAGTATATATATATATATATGTTAGATAGTAGTATATTTAGTTTGTTATATGCAAAACTACTTTAGAATTCTTTTCAATAATTTAAAACGTTCCAAATTGTTAACGCTCACTAAATACTTGTCTTTATGGGATTCAAAAGAGTTCTTAACTTTAGATCGGTTTCATTTGTTCTTGTTTTCTTTTGCTTTAGCTACGCTTCTGCAGTTGGTTTGTTCCATTCGGGTTTAGTATTAAAATCTATTAGGCATAGAATTGAAGTTTGAGTGAATTGAGTTTTAATCTCTTTCGTTTTTGTTTTTCAGTTTTGTATAACTTGAACCTTAAGTTTAGAATCTGTTTAAATTGTTAGTATTCAATTAAAACAATTGTTTGGAACAACCTTTCAACTTATGAGACAGATGAGTTTCTTAGGCTTGACTGGGAGCAAAAGGAAAACTGTGAAAAAGAATTCTAAAAAAATTTTTTTTTAAACTTTTATACGTGCTCTGTGGCTAAGGCAGAGTCACAAAAGTTATTGAAAAATATATATGAAAAATAAAAGAACTAAAAAACTACAACAAAAAATTTGTTCTTTAAAATTGTTGCACTAAAAAACAATTTTTTGTGTGTTCAAATATTGGTTTTCTTTCTTCTTTTTTTGGTTATTTCGATTGTAGAAAAAATGAATTTGTTTATTGTACATACCGTTAAATGAAATAAATATCCTATAAATACAATCAAGCTCGTCTATGTGTGATGTGTGCATGGATTTGTGTGTGTGTGTGTGTGTGTGTGTCTCGTGTCTGTATAATGCCTGATATAATACAGATGCCAGTTATCGTTTGTAATTTGAACATTAACTTTGCACGTTAATTAACTTTATTTCTTATTATTGCCATCGTTTGCCAATAATAGCTCCTTGGCCTCCTTTTTGCCACGTTTCTTCTCCTCCTTGGCATGCAGCTTGGCCAGTCGCTCCTCCTCCTTGGCCAGGCGTTTCTCCTCCTGCCGTTATATTAAATGCACAAAATGAGTTATAATAACCCGTTATATAAGCAGCAACATTATAACGTTATGCTTCTAATTAATGTTGGGCGAAATGTTAGTTTCAATCTCGCTAAATAAAGTCAGCTCTATGGGGTATATGCAGTACTGACTATAATGGCACACATTTATGTTAGTCTGTCATATGTTTTATTAAAAAATATAAGGAACTTGTCACTACTTAATGTACTGATCATAATATTATGAAAGGTGCAGTGAACTGATCTAACTAATTTATTTGTTTATTTGTTTTTAGAGGGTATCTGTTAGACGATCAGCTACTATCTTAACATATGTGCTTGTATCCATGACTTTATTCAAATATTTTGTTCTGTAATTATTAGGGATTAATGGACATGTTCAGCTCTGATTACAGGGTATCTATTAGGTGTAAGACACCTATACGCTAGCTTTAAGCTAAAGAATATTAAAGCTGCACCCAAATGAAGTCGCCAATTAATGCTACATTTGTCAATTTTCTATAGATTTCACTTTTACAGGGTATGGGATAGTCGCACATATATTTTAAAATAATTTAAAAGGTTCAGCTTTTGTATATGTACGCACCTGACAAGGAAAAGAACTTTAAGGAACTAAAAGCACTCAAAAACTGATTACTGGGTATCCTCAAGTCTATCAGTCATGAATGCAAGCTTTGCTTGTTTAACATGCAATAAATAGCAAGCTTAAAAAGTGCAACGAGCATTATGTGAACCTTTTTTGTTTGCAGCTGCCGCCCCGCACCCTGCTCACCGTCTGATTTGGGCAGGGTGCGGCGGGGGGAGACGCGCTCGCCCCGAACTTAATGAAAAAGTTTGCAGCGGCAGCGGCAGCGGATGCAAACGAGGCCAATTACAAACAATGCGAATGGGCGCCGTGTGGCGCCCCCTGGCGGCGAAACAATAAAGTCTTATGCCCCACAATATGCAAGCGCAGCGAATGAGTGAGAGAGTGAAAGAGATTAAGAGCGCACGGAAGAGTGCGGGGGGAACTCACCTTTCTGGCTTCCTTTTCAGCCTTCATCTTGAGTTTCTCCTCCTTCTTCTTGCGCTCCATGGATTCGTTCTTCTTGTTGTCGGCCTTTTCCTCTGCAAAATTGTTGAGCGGAACCTAATTAATTTTTGCGCCATCCTGGCGCCATCTATCGCGATCAACTTACTGTGATTGCTGCCGTTGCCGCCACTGCTGCTGCCGCTGCCGCTGGAGAAGAGCGGAAAGCTGCGACTGGAAGCGGTTGTGTGTGGCTTGCCGCTGCCGCCTGGGGCGGAGGCGGCGCCGCCGCCCGCTGTGCATCCTGTCGTGGCCTTGGCGGCGCCCTGCCCCTTGCTAGTGGGCGGCACTGCGGCAAGCGACATCTTCTTATCCTTGGGCATCACATAGGCATTTTTGGGTAGCGAGTTTTTGGCGTTGAGCGGACAAATCTTGGCTCCACCTGCCTTAAGGGGCGGCGGGGCAAGCGCTGTGCAGCTTAGCTGTATATTCATGGGACTGGGGCGACGTGCCGGCGGCGGCGACGTGGACTCGCGCAGCAGTGGCGCCATCTCATGACCGCTTGACTTCGTGTAGGAGGCGTAGCTGCAGGAAATGAATGGATTGGATGATTAATGGATGATCCCATGCTGCACAGTATTAACCCACCGAAAACGCGGATTGCTGACATGCACCGGCGAAGGATGTGGCACTTTGGCTGGACTGCGAAACTCCTTGATGGGTGGCAGTCGATTCTGTAGATCCAGCATGCGGCTCTTCACGTGCCGCCGTCCCGGATAGGTATGTGTGGGCGTGGGCGTCATGCAGCCACTGCCGCTGCCGCTGCCAATGCCGCTGCTGCTGGATGAAGATGTGGAGGCGGAATTGCTCAGAGTGTGCAGCGGCTTGCGTGGCACAGCTCCCGAGCAGCCACTGGGACAACCGCCATGATGTGAATGATGTGTGCCCGTATCTCGCGGCGACAGCGAGCCAACGCTGGAACACGAGGATGAGCCCGAGGGCGAGATCACCTGATGCTGATGCTGCTGGTGCTGGTGCTGATGCTGATGATGATGATGGTGTGTGCTGGGCGATGGCGGCGCCAGATGATTGGCACTGACTGCAAGCGCCGCTGCCGGCGAGGCTGGCGAGCAGGCACCGCTGCTCGATATGGAAGACGTCTTGGAGTAGTGCGAGTAGCCAGAGAACGTGGAACCCGCCGATCCGGTCGAGCTCATCGAGTACAGACTGTCCGATTGCGAGACACGTCCATGAGCGCCACGTGCTGTTGCCGCATAGTGGTGTCTTCCACCAGCAGCCGTGTGCAGCGTGGGCTGGTGGAATGCATGATGCTCGCTGTGCGCATCGTTCATGGAATAGGAGCTGGCCGAGGCCACCACGCCGCCAGCGTGCACACCCGCCGAGGCCCAGCTTTTGGCACCCATGGAATAACTACTGGCCGATTCCTGTATGCGCCAGCTGCCTGAAGATGAAGTCAGTCGGTTCACCCGCGCCCGACAGATCACGCAACGCAGTGGCAACAGTCTTTGGGCCACGGCGCTCTGTATGGTCTTCACAAAGCAGCGCCGGCAGACGACTCGATGGCCACATGGCGAGGTCTGCATGGTGGCCCGCGCATTGATGCAGATCACGCATTCATCTTCCTGCGAGGTAGGCGGATCCGGTTCGCTTTCCTCCTCCAGCTTGCTCAGGAGTTTGTCCTGCAATGGCCAGAAAGAAAATTCTTAGAATATTCCCAGTAGATTGTGCATTGATAGTATTAATTTTAGCATAAGCCCAAAAGTATGCAACACTTTTTCTGGATGTTGGAAATCAAAGAATTTCTAGATGGCAAACTTATAAATTAATCAAACTTAACACATTTCTATGTTTGATAGAATGTTGCTTATATTTTAGGCCTCTAGGATAATTTAGCTCTAAAAAATGGTTAGCCTTATCAAATTAATATAACATCACTCTAAAAAGAACCTTACCCCTTGTTGCATAAAAATAATTTGATCTATTTCTCGCAATATATTTATCATAAACTTAATGCTGTTTTTTTTATTTCAATTGTCAAAAACTCACCAAAAATTTATAAGTAAAGTGGCAGAGTTTTAATTTATGCCCTATCAAAACTTTAAACGTCCCCAACTTTGCCAACAACATATTGAAAAGCTATCTTTGTGTTGAATATAAATATGAAATTTTAATCAATATGTCATTTATTTGACGATGAGTAATCAAAGATTTTAACAAATAACTATAAATTGATATTGGTTTTAATTTTTTTTACAATTTACACTTGCTTAATTGTAAATTATGTCAGAGTATGTTACTGGTCAAGGACGCAGCCGGAAGCCATTTGACACGCCCATAAAAAACAGCATCAATCGATGATAATAAATTTGAAATGTTTTTTTTTTTTGTTCAATCTACGCATTGGCTAACTGTATTTATACGATATGCAAATCTGTGAATTGGCGTCGATTTGATAGCCGATTTGATACCAAATTGGCGAATGGCGCTTTGGATTTTGTTTGTCTTTTATCTCTTTTTTTTTCTTTTTAGCTAGGTGGGAGTGCGACCTCTGGCAGGTCATTATGCATTTATAAATAGTATAAAATATATTAAAGCTTTAAAGAATTGTTAAAATTCGCATTTTTTATGTTTTTTTTTTTTTTTGCTTTTTGATTGCATTTTTCTTATTGTTGGCTGTCATTAATTTTGTGAATCAGCAAGTATTTTTTTAATTATTGTTATACCCTTGTGGCGGGCATAATAAACATGTCGTGACATGTGTAACACGCTTAAGTAGTTACTTCCGGCTTTTCGGAATCTAGTCTCGCTGTTTGAATGAGACTTCAAGACCTTATAATAGATGTCATGGGAAAAAATTTAAGATTATCATTCAAATATATTATTTGTAAACTTTATATACAATATTTTATTTATAAGAGTATGGAGTCTTCGGCTATCCACAATAGTAACAGTTATTTCTCATATAAATTGATTGTGTTTGATTGTGGTCAATTGTTTTTTTTCATGGAAGTGCCACAGCTAGGCATTTATTGTGCGCTTACTGTAAATATATAAATAAACAATTGCATTAATGCGCGTGCAATGTACCTTAAAGCGCTTCACCTTTCAAGGCACGAGGAAGTCATCAAATGTATTCATTCAGACTCCGAGCGAAGTTGTTGAACTGGTTTTCGGCTTGGCTAATGGACTAGAACATAGAATGAGCCTTGCACTTGGCGGCTTTCAGGGCCAAGCCCCAAGGCTTGCCAATTGTTAGCAATGGCCAATTAGCCATCGAATTAAAGCTCCAATCAATGTAAAAACCTCGAGAACACACACATGCCAATTTGCTTGGTGTTAGCTGCCATAAAGCATAGTCAAAGCTAATTATTTGTAAAGTCTGACCCTGGCTACCGGTCTTCATAGCCAGACGCAATTTCAGTTTCAATCTATGCATAAATCATAGTCACAGCCGCCCGCAACTTGAGCAAAAATTATGGCGATTGATTAATGCTCTGCATATGCAAAACTCGGCGCCTCGCTAATTGACCCGCAACAAAAGCTGAGCAGATGAAGAAGAAAAGTTGGCTTAAGTTGAGGTTGGTCAGAACCGCTTTAATTAATGTGCTTTGATGTTGCTCGTAGTTGTTGGCTACGGTCAACGAAAGGCGATAAGCATCATCAGCTGCGTAGAGCCGAGAGCATCTTATTGGCATAATGGAATCCAAAAGTCAGCATTCGGTCAAGGTAAACCGGCTGGATATGATACACTGCCGGAAAAGATTATATAAAAGAGAACAGCCAAAAGCTCGATAAGCGGCTTTTTCAATTTATATCAGGTTCTAGCTTCTTGAAACGCTGCTAAGAAATATATTTAAAAATCTAAAATTGACACGAATTTATATATAGTATTATTTATAATCTTTGTTAAAGTAAATACTGTGGCAAATTCATGTTGGGCTCCGCATTGATCATCTCCAATCAATCAGTCAAGCAGTCAGTCAGTCAGTTAGGCAGGCAATCAGTCAGTCGGACCGTCAATCAGTCCGTCAATCAGTCCGTCAGTCAGTTAGTGAGTCAGTCAGCTAGTCAATCAGTCAGTCAGCACAAAGTATCTTTAGAAAATCATTTCAGGCTTGTATGCAATCTTTCTGCAAATTCTATAAAAAGCTCCTAAATTTTTCTCAGTGCAATCACAAAAAGTACTGCAAGCACAGCTCTAGAAGTGGTACCCTCCTTTCTCCCGTTCGTCACACAGCATCAATGACGTGTAAATTGAAGCCTGTTCGACTAGCTGTTGAACTTTGGTTTTGTAAGCGGCTCGTTGCCCGGTTCTTGACTATTTTGCCGCCCACCCAAAGCGATCAGTTTGCAGCGATCTTCGATCCAAGCGCTTCATTTCGTATGCTGGGCGGGCGACAGGCGTGCGACATCAGGAAATTAAATAGCAATTTTACGACTTTTCCAGCGTGTTCATGTGTGTGCATGCGCGATTAGCTAATCTAAATATTTGGCACAGGCTGAGGCGGAACATGCATGAAAATTGCGACGATCAAGTTCGTTGCCTCAGTCTTTTGTTTTTGGCATAGGGCCGTGCGAATTGATTTCAAGCTGCCACCCAATAAGCAATCAAACCAAGCCCGCAAACAGCTCAACAGCTTCTAGACAACGATCCCAGTCGCCGTCATCGTCGGCATCGCCGGACAGTCAGCGTGCGGCTCGAGCAGCGTTCAGTTCGTCTACGAAACTTGGCCAGAACAGAGCGTTGTTGCCGCTGCCTAAAAATAAAGTCGTGTGTGTGTGTGTTTTATAGACGCGCCCAAATACGAAGCTTAGTCAATGCGGAAGTGCCCATTAAATAATAACAAATTCAAATAGTTCACAAAGTGTGAATTTCGTGGTTGAGCATGTGCCAAGTTCATTGCACGCCAAAATTCGCTGGCCCCGCTGATAAAATATAAAATAAAATACAATATTGATAACCTGTGTATAAAATATCACTTAAAGATCAAAACCACATAAGTGCATTTGCTTATATTTTGCGATGGTTTTGCCAACTGCCTCAACATTGTGCCATGTTTTTACATTTCTGCTGGGTAAGTTTGTGCCGTAAATTAGATGCGTGTGCTCTTAACGCATTAGCAGAAAAAAAATAAAATTATTCAAATATCTCTCAGCACCCAGTCCCACTGAGGTGTTCTTTGTGCCAGCTATCGAACTGTTTACTCTTGCTTTTAGACACAAATCTTTGTGCCTAAGTTCAAGGTGTTGTGAATTGTAAATAAGCTATGTGCTTGTTTATAAATAAATTGTGTGTAGATAAAATTGGTGTGCGTGTGTGTGTGTTAGTGTGTGTGGCCGCAAGTGCCAATTGTTGATATTTGATGCATGGATTACTCGGGGCCCAGGCTTGGCTGCTTATTTGAGGGCTTACTCAGCTGTGAAAGAAGGCCGACTTGGCACTGGGCAGCCGATGAACAATGGAACATCTGATTCGTACTAACTTATAAATAAAGTCAAGGCTTTTATAATTAGCTGCCTTAAATTGAGGGGGAGACATATGTTATATGGGCGTACCAATGTGTACAAATAAAACTTACCAAAAATTAAATGGAGCTTGTTAAAATAATTATAATATATATATTCTCAAAGTCCAAAATATAAACGTGGGCCAAAACTTCACCAGCTCTTTAAATTTTAAATTGTTGCTGCTGATTGACTGATTACCTGACTGACTGATTGACAAACAATGCACCTGAAGCTTGTTGAAATAACTATGTAATATATGTATTCTCCATGTCTAAATTATATACCTAGCCCTAAACCTCACTTGATCTTTAAATATTGAACTGTTGCTGCTGATTGACTGATTACCTGACTGATTGATTGAAGAACAATGCACAGCACATTTATGTGATATATATAGTCTCGATGTCTAAAATATATATCTAGCCCGAAACTTCACTTAATCTTCATAAATAAAACTCTTATTGCTGATTGACTGATTGACTGACTGACTGATTGACTGATTGACTGACTGACTGATTGACAAACAATGCACCTAAAGCTTGTTGAAATAACTATGTAATATATGTATTCTCCATGTCTAAATTATATACCTAGCCCTAAACCTCACTTGATCTTTAAATATTGAACTGTTGCTGCTGAATGACTGAATACCTGACTGAATGATTGATGAATAATGAACAGCACAAGCCAAAACCTGGAGCTTGTTGAAATAATTATGTGATATAAATATTTTAAAATATGTTCTAATATATTTGTCTAAAATATATACCTAGCCCAAAATATTACTTAATCTTCATAAACAAAGCTCTGTTTGCTGATTGATTGATTACCTAACTGACTGAATAGTGCACAGCACAAGCCATCAACTTTGGTGATGCATATAGAAAAAATGTTTCTTATAAACTAAACTATTTATTGTTATTATTAATTTCCACAGATTTATGTTAAAAACCAAGATAAAAATGTTAATTGTATGTTATGTCTGTATAAACTAATCATAAAACTAAGAACATTGGAGTTCAGTGAAACGCTCGAAAGTACATATTTGACAGCCTACAACAGTCCATTTAATATTGTAAAGCCCCCACAAACTCAGTTGATCTTTTATTTAACTTCAAGCAACTGCCAAGCACTTAGCTTTAAACATGTTTGAAGAGCGTATTATAGCTTTGTTCTGGGACATAATGAATGTATCTTTGTTTTTTTGTCACATTTCACAAATTCTAGCTCAAGTGCCAGCAATATTTAAAGTATAATTTGCTTAATAAATCAGCTGCTTGTCAGAAATCACCTCAAAGATGACTAAGAAGTCTGCCCCTGCGCCACACAATTCTTTAATGAAAAAAAAACCCATTAAGCTGAGTTTTATGACATCTGGGGCATCCCTTGGGCCCATTATGTATGGAAACATTTTTATGGCCCGCTCAGACCGCAGACAATGTCAGGCTAGTTAAGAATAACATAATATATCTAGAACTTAAGAGCCGGGCGAGGTGTGTGGCCAAAAAAAAATCAGCTCTAACAATGTTATTATTCATTTAACAATAACAATTGGTGAGGAATGAGCATGATAATTAGCCGACAGTCAACAGAAGCAAAAAAAAAAAAAAAATGAAATAAACATTTAAATTAACAACAGCAAAAAGTACATAGTATTTAAATGCGAAGAAAAAATTATATTAAATAAAATGCACGGCGTGACGCGAAGAAACGTGGAAGCAAATACGAATGCGAAACAAAACAAAAACAAAGAAAATTAAACAACAACAAAAAACTTTATATAGATAAAAGTCACAAAACTCTTCCGCTAAATAAAAAAAAACTGGTAATATATTTACATAAATTCAAGTTTTCTAAACTACTTGCATAATATCAAATCCACGTCGCGAAACGGCAAATCTTGAACGAGAAGAAGAAGCTGCGGAAAATCAAACTGCTAACTCAATTGGCCTTGGCTAAGGTCATGAACATAGTTGATTTTGGCCATTTAATCAAATGCATTCAATGCACAAACAACGCTAAATTTGTGTAGCAAAACAAAAGCGAAGAACAAAGCAAATGCGAATGCAACTGCGATTGTGATTGAGATTGAGACGGCGACGATGGCTGCGCTGCCATTGACATTGCCTTGTTGACCCAGTGCCACGCCCTCGTTACAATGTCTCTTAGTTTTCGATAAAAAACTTGATAAAAACTTGTTTTGCAGCAGCCAAGTGGGCACATTGACTACTGGAAGGCTTTGGTAACGAGCACAGAGTAACTGCTCTGACGTCATAAATTAAATTTAAATTAAATTAATCAAATTAAAACTTAGGCTTTGGGTTCGTGATCGATTTCAAATTCCTTTTTTAATGTGAAAACAATTTCTTAGCTCACAAAATAAAGATAATTTTTTTCCGCTTTCGATTACAACTATGTGATCGATTGTTATTGTTTCAATCCCAAATCAAAAATCGAAGAGCTTAAAGAAAACGTCTTGTAAAAAACATTAAATATAGCTTACTATAGAATGACATGTGAATAAATGGAAAGCTAGGAAGAATTACCTGGTTAATTACGAATCTCAGCTTAATTTTTCTTTTTCATGACATTCACTTTTAAAAGTGTAATTAGCAAAGGTAATAATTATCGTCTGGTTACTTTAATTGTTTTTCTATGTGTGTTTCAGCTATTCAGACTATTTTGTATACCCTCTTGAAAGTATCCGCAGAGTTTTAAAAAGGTATAAACATGCGAGACGCAGCCAAAAGATAGCTAGTGAACCGGAGAATCATTTAAAAGTCGAGCGCCTTTTTGAACAGCTCTTACAGGGTATTCAAGTGGTGTCATATGGCCTGAGCTTGTCGTTTATGCGAATATGCTAGTGTATGTGTGCACTCGTTCTAACATTTGTCTCTGCTTAGACGTAATGCGCGTCGTATGCGTCACGTGCTGCTGTTTGTTATTGTTTTTGTCGTTGTTGTAGTTGTTGTTGTTGTAGTTGTCGTTGTTGTCGTTGTCGTTGTTGCCGTTGTCGTTCCAGCTGTCAATCTTGTGGTTGTTGTGGTCGTTGTTAGTTTCGTTTTTTTTGTTAGTAGCTCGCAGCTCACCATCGTAATACCAGATTCAAGTTCACGGCTAACTTGACTTGCGCCTCGCTTGGCTGGTTTCGTTTTAGCCAAGTTTTGTTGTTGTTGTTGTTGCTTTCGCTGCTGTTGCTGTTGTCGCTGTCTTATTAGCTGCTTAATAATTCAATTAGCTGGCTCCAAATAATTGCTGGCATTTTTCACATGCTCAATTGAAAATTTGCAATCGTAATTCCGCGGCTTATTGTTTTGATACCCTGTTCACAAAGCGTGCGAATGAGTATATTGATTTTTTAAGATGAAGATCTAGACTTTTACATACATATATGTACTCGTAGATATTAAGCCTAAGAAGGTCTCTTTCGACTTGTTATACTTTAATTGAAGGTATTTTTCTGTTGTACTCTCAAAATGTAACATAATGTATTCTTTTTGATAATTATCAACAACCAAGTCGATTCGCACCTTACATGTTATTATCCTATATAAGACTACTTAAAGCTGACTCAACTGCATTAACTTCATTCTTAAATTGCATTTCTAAAAATATTTAATCTTCGACGAACCGAAGGTAACAGATTTTTCGCTTCGAGCAGTGTATTGAGCCGTCGGCTTTGCTCATGAGTTTTCGCCTTCTCTCTTTGCAGCCGGTTCACCCATCTTCTACAGCGCGGCGCCGCGTGGCAGCTGCAGCAGCTGCTGTGCGATACGCGAACGCGAGGACATCAAGTTTCTGCTGTACACCAGGTGAGTTGGCTGGTTGGTGGGGCGTGTAGCGTCCGCGCGGCTCGTGCATATTGAAAGGTCATTTGGGCTACTCTTGCAGGAAAAACCGCAACGCGGCACAGCTGCTGCAGTTGAGCGACGATGTGCGACTGGCGCGCAGCAATTTCAATTTCAATTACCCGCTGGCCATCTATCTGCACGGCTTCTCGGAGTCCGCCACGGGGGAGAAGCAGAGCAGTCAGGAGCTGAAGGATGGTAACTCAATTTCTGAATCTCTAAGGCTCAACACACACATGCACACAGCAGCTCATTCTATTTGCTCCACAGCCTTTCTGCGACGCGGCAATTACAATGTGATACTGGTCGACTGGAGCGCCATGGTCGCTGTGCCCTGGTACTCCAGCGCTGTGGAGAATCTGCCCGTTGCCGCACGCTACTTGGCCAGGTTTCTGCGCTATCTGGTGACCAGCGGGTATGCCGCGAAGCATATACATCTGATTGGTTTCAGCTTGGGTGCCGAGGTGGCCGGCTTTGCGGGCAAGCAGTTGCAGGAGTGGGGCATTAAGCTGACTAGGATTACGGCATTGGATCCGGCACTGCCGCTCTTTGAGGGCAACAGCTCCAATCGTCGACTGAGTCCCAGTGATGCGCGCTTTGTCGATGTCATACACACGGATGGCGGCATTCTGGGCAATCCCACGGCCATGGGCCATGCTGATTTCTATCCGAACGGCGGACGACCATTGCAGCCGGGCTGTGCGCGGCAGGAAATCGCCAATAATCGCTGGCTGGGCATCATTAGTAAGCGGATGGACTTTCATTCCTATTTACTGCAGCTGCATTTGGTTGCTCTGTTCACAATGTGCTAGAGGAGAGGCTTGGTGCAGCCTAGTAAGCACCTCCAAAGATCGAGCGGGAAACTTCTGACACTGTGAACAGAGTATGGTGCAGTCGACTGCAAAGTTTTCTGACTCTTCCTGTTTACTTGCAGTTGGCTGCAGTCATCAGCGCGCCTGGGAGTACTTTGTGGAGAGCATCGGTCAACCGTTGGCCTTTCCCGTCGAACGCTGTGAGCCATCGCCAAAGTTTGGCATCTGCCGCGATGGCAACGGACGTGCCTACATGGGCTACGGCACCGATCCGAGGTGAGAGCAATCGATATAAATTATCCCAGCCACACAATCCATTCCAATTTTGTTTTTCCACCGAACACTTGTCAGACTGCGCGGCAAGTTCTATTTGGAGACGAACGGTGCCAAGCCATTTGGACGGCACAGCCCGTCGTCAATACCTCAGTTGCCCATCTCCTATAAAATGACAGCGAATGCCTCCGGGGAAGCCGCACGACTGCAGCAAGAGGATGACTACAACACGCTCAGCAACAACATCGCATTGACGTGACAAAATGTTAAATGTTCCTCGCCCCCTTCACAGTTCCCAGCTCTGATGAGCTCCATCCTTTAACGTGAGATTTATGTGAGTGCGCGTGATTTTGACGCACCAGAGTTGAAGGTTTCTCCCTCCACAGTTTTCTCTAGTTGTATTTGTTGCTTATCTAAGTAGTTGTAAGTTGTCTTGTGATCTGATTTATAAGTATTGTTAGCACGTAAGCTGTCTATGTGTTAAGAAAAGAAAATACGTTCGATCTGAATGGCATTTGGCATACAGCCTTTTTTTGCGTTGGGCCTTTCTATGCGATTCTCAGCGGATGGACTTAAGTAACTCAGCAATGGGCTTTTGAGTGGACTTCAATGGATATATTTCGTATACAAACGGAATTGATTTGGAAATATATTAGTTGAGAAGCATAGGCAGGATAGCGAAAAAGAAATGCTTTCGAAAGTATATGATACATAATTCAAGTAATTGTTTATAGTTATAAAAGGTAAAAGTACTGTTTCTTTCTCTTCTTATCCCTTCCAGTTTGTTATCAAGGCCTTTCGAATGGTATTTTAAGCAATAAAATTTGCAATATACCTTGAATATTCGCCTTAGAATGTGAAAACGTGAGAATTTATCCTAGTTAAAAACTTGATTTATTTTTATGGATTTTCAAGATTATTTACATCTTTCATCAGCAGGTTTACAGCCCTTGCAATGAGACTGCACTATGTGCGACTATAAAATATAAATTCAATGAGGCTTTCAGCTGCAGCTTGCCCCGCCCCCTACCCTACTCTACCCACGACTTGCCCAAGAGGCTGACCTAGTAAAATTTTAGTTTCAGCAAACGAAATTCACAAATCATTGAACGTAGCTTCAAATGGAGCGTATGTTATTTACCTAAGCAAATGGTGCAAATGCTGCTGGCTGCTAACTGCAACAGCTGCAGCAGCGGCAGCAACTACTTGCAACTGCCACAGCTGCCGCAAGCTAAGTGGCACTGCAGTAAAGCTGTCACGTGCTGCTTGCGTCGTTCGATGTTTTTCAAATCTGCCAAGGCGGCATGAGGCAAAAAGTTCTCATTAATAATGCAACACACACAACACACAACACACAACACACAACACACACACACACACACACACACACACACACACACACACACACACACACGAGCCTGGCTGCACTTGGGTGTGTCAGCTACCCAGCTACTTGCCACAACTTCCGCTCGTTAAGCGCTGGCCTATGAAATGAGTTGAAAATCGGTCGCCGCCGCAGCTCATTGCACATTATGGCGCACATCCTGCCGGTTGTTGTTGTTTTTTTTTATTTTAACATAATTCTAGGCTTATAGCTGCATTTTAAAGCGTTCGCTACTTGGCTAATAAGCAATTTACAGCTATTATAGTGCGACCTCAACCTGGCCAAAATATATTATTAATTAGTTTTTAATTACGCCGGCAATTGCTCATATTTTCGTTTGGGGTTCCGGCACCCAATTCTACAAACTAAGTACAATTTTTGTTTGTTATTGTTTCTTTTCTTTTTTTGCGATTTTGTTGGCCTGGCTAGGACAAATATTTTTGCTGGCTGCCCTTGGGGGCGTATACTTAATATTTTATATATATGTATATAATTTATTTTTTTTGCTGTTGCTCCTACTTTCCCTTCCTTCTGACTGCCTGCTGTTTTCTAAGGTTTCCCGTTGCGTCATTGTCGAAGCCCCAAGCACTTTGCATGTCGTATTTTGCTTTCGAATACCCTAAGTAAAAGCATCTTGATAAAGTAGTGTAGTGCTTTAAAGTGGTCACATGTTTGAAAATAATATTGCTACATTTCATATAATAAATAAAATATAAACATTATATTGAATCCAATATAACAGAAGCGGGGACGCCAGCTTAAATCAAGCAGCTTTATTTAATTTGTACATGTTTTTATTTAATTTATATTCAGCAGCATGAAAAGTTACATCAGAAATAGGCAAGTGAAAAACAGAATTTGTTAAACTTTTAATAATATTGCTCAGAAATATATTTCATACCTTTAGAGTATTTAATCTTCGACGGTCTTTAGATTCTCGCGCTCTCTAGTTTTTTGTTATACGCATTTTGGACAACTAAATTAAATTACTTGGGCTGCGTTTTGTCGTGAGTCACGCCTAAAACTAAGCCTCAAACCTGCTGTGCCTGTGACGAGGGTCATGCGATTAACAGAACGTAGCGAAAATTAAAGTAGAACTCATAAAAGAAACGCCAAAAACGTTTGTCCGCCTAAGAGAAGATCATAAAAAATGCATTAGAGCTGTGATTGTGTTGGGCAAATGTGAACAAGTCGCTTGTTGAGAAATCAAATTAGTTTACCTAAGTCACAATCCCAACATTTCCATATTTGTCAATCCCCAGGCACATGTACAAGAGAACTTGACTGACTAGCTCGTATAGTTCCTGTAGTTAGCATATCAATTATATGCGCCCGTCCAGTTGTGTGTTCGGGGGGGCCAATTAAATGTGAGTTGTGTTTATGATTATCGTTTTAGGGGGTTGCTCTACGGCTGGCTGGCATGCCATGACCATGTCGCACATGACAATGGCTTCTGAACAAGGTGCAGACACGTGCAAAATGAGCTCAATACTGGCCTGGTAAACGAGCCAACCCACGCAGCACACACACACCTCCCACACACAGCTCCCACACATGACATGTCGCTGAGTCATGGGCGTTGTCTAATGAGCTGTTGGATGGAAATGGGCCTCTAGATCCAGCTGCCACTTTACAGCCAGGCTGACTGATTGATTGATTGATGTTCAAATTGATTGTTGTCGTATTTGCCCTGTATCCATAATTTATTTATAACTCAACTCTCATGTAATTTAATACATTTCTTATGTATTTTTCCTTTTTGGGTCCGCCGGCTCATAAGTGTGTCAGACATTTTGACACCTCGAAATAGGCTACTCAGAACATGAGTTTGCATGTACTCAATCAGTCAATCGTTTCGTTAGTCAGTCAGTCAGTCAGTTAACATGACAACACCAGCTTGTTTTTCGTTGGCCCTGCACACATTTTGCAATTTTAAATTCTAAGGTACTCAAATCCAATAAGGCCACCCGAAAAAAATTAATTAAATCGATAAGCTTTTCGCTTTGCGCGCACAGCGTCGCTTTTATGTTTACTATGCATGCTAGCAGAAGAGCTGAGTCAGCCTCTGTGCTTGATATACCCTGTAATGAAGCACTGATAAGGAGTATGCATGTATAAGGAGCTTGTCAATATAATAATCGTTTCCATTTTGTATATAGAAATGAACTAACAGCTGTTAAATAGTAGAATATGTTAAGAGAAGAGTTAACATAAGTAAGAAGTGTTATTAGCAGGAATCAACAGTTATGTTTAACAGCAAGAAAATGTTAACATATGCAAAAAATGTTCATGTCTGGCGGCAGAGCGAGTGAGCGAGACATAGTGCAGGCCAGCAGTGTGAGAAAGACAATAAACAATTCTATTATGTTAGACAACAACAGGGCGACTTACTCTCTCCTCTCTCTGATGTATGTGTCTGTTTATTTGTTGCATACTGGCAGGCGCAACAATGTCATGAAAATTGCATTAATATCGGCGACGTTTAGGTGTCGGCGAGTCAATATATGTGTGCGCATGTTTGTGTGTGTGTGTGTATCTGTGTGTGAGTTATATGTTGTAACTAAGTGAATTTATTGCATTTAATATGCTTTTCATGTCACACAGCCGGAGTAGCCCTCAATATTTTATACATTTTTATAGCGAGCAGCAGGCGAACAAGCTCATTAAAGCTAACAAGATGTTAAAAAAGGAAGAGAATTGGATACATTTAAAGAGAGAGAGAGAGAGAGAGGGAGAGAGAGAGAGAGAGAAAGAGAGTGTGTGCGCTAGAACATGATATGTTTGCTCTTAATTTCCAGGATGTTCTAATTGCCGCACACATTAAAATCCAATTAAATACCATCCAACCATCTAAACGAAACAAGTTTCGTGTAGGCGCCTAATTGAAGCCTGTAATGTGCGAGGGACTCCATGCCATACGGCCTACAATTAAACAACTTCCCAACGAAAATTGTACACAAATTTGCAATATAATTAATAAATAGACAAATTGGTTGAATGGCGGATTAACAAAAGATTTAACTCAGCTTAAACAAAAATGTAAACAGTTTTAAAGAGCTTATACAATAAATTTTAAATAGTAAAAAAATGCTCTGTTCGGTATAAGAAAATCAAAAAAATATATAGAAATTATAAAATATAAAAGTTATAAAGATGGAGCTCAGCATAAATAAAAAAAAAGGAAGAACTTAACTTATTAAAAATAAAAACCCAATTAACAATTATTTAAATATATATATTATTTATTATTAAAGTTTTCGTTTCTGGCTTGAAAGGTCTATGTATATAATCATCTCTGTGCACATTATTTTAAAATTTTAATTTAATTTAACGCAGCTTTCCGGCGGAACAAACTGTTAAATACTCTATAAACCGTTGTAAAATCATATAATTACTTGTTTGAAAATTGTGTGGCTGTGTGCCATGTTTATTGTCGCTCACTGTGGCTGTTATTTATCAATAGACGCGCTGGCTAATTGCAAAACTTGGGCAGACAGATAACAGTGGCAGCATCAACAACAACAATAACAACAACACGCACAACAACATGGACAACAATGACAACGAATCGTGTGCCATGTGCGAGGACATGCACACACAGTGCCTGCTAAAGTGCAGCCATAGAAAATTGTGACAAAAGTGTCAAATTTGCCAACTAAATAGCGCGCACACACACACATTCACACACACGCGCTGAGAGCAGCCTCATCAGGCGTAATTATGGCTTTTAGCACATACAACGGGCAAAAAGTGAAAAGTGGAAATTGCCGCTGCGATGCCATTTTGGTTTATTCATTGAAAGCCAGCTGACAGGAACTGAAAGCAGCGTTGAATAGGTAGAGCGGGGAGGGGAACCAGCAGAAAGGCAGGTGAATGGAAAAAGGGGGGTGGGGGTGGACAAGTGTAAGTGATATACTAGTTAACTTAGTTAGCCGTTAGTTGCGAAATGAGTCAGCGAAATGGCACATTTAAAAGTTGTAACAGGCAAGGAGTGACAGGCAAGGGGCAAGGGAACTGAATAACGTTAGAGCAGAGGGGGAGTGTGGAGAGGAAAAGAGTAATGCATTGCCTGCTGAAAGCATATGAGCTGTTTAGCTGTGCAT